TCGCGTGATCTCCAGCTCGCTCGACGATGACATCTCATTTATCTCGCTTACAGGGTAAAAACAGAAATTAGTACCTTCTATTCGACCCCCAAACCATATTTGATTTTGTTTTGTTTTTACCGTTAGTCATGTGACATTGATCAGCGCGGGGAACCGTGCGACGAGAAGTTGAAGCAAGCGCGGTCCGAATCTACGTAAAAGACAAAATATAAAACTAGTAGCAAACAAACCACTCTTCATGCAATTTTCCTGAACGCGACTATAAGTATCGCGTTTTGCCCGGGGTTTGAAGGTTTTCGCACATAGTCCGCGCGTGGCATCTCAGTCCGTCGGACTATAAACGAGAACATTTGTACTTAGAGATTTAGACATGCAGAACAGTGTTTTGAGGGTTAGTTTTGTTCTCAACAGAGAAACCCCAGGCCAGGATCCGATGGGCAGACCTCGATTGATGTCGTCGACACACTGTGACCTGTCCTGTCCGCTCATTATGTCGGATTCGAAAGTGATTGGTCCGATGAGCAGCACAGCAAGCAGCCTGAGGGTTCATCCCGTGTCACTTGCGAGAACATAGCCTGTCAGTGTCGTGCCGGGAGGGAACACGGCACAGTCTTCAGGCAACCAACAACAATCCTCCCCCTTGCCCTACAAGTCGAGGGGGGGAAGGGGGGGGTGCGCGCGGAAAGGGGAGGAGCAACTAACCACCCACCACCGCCAGCACAGAGTTCCCTCAGGTTTCCTCCCAAAATCACATCGCACCAACCCCGCCAACCAGCCAACCACAGAGCAGACAACCACCACCACACTTCGAATTCGAATGCCCTTCCAGCTTCGACCCATCCTGATGCACCTTGGGAGATTTTCTGTGGGGCGGATGGTCATTGTCAATGGATAGTGCTTCGTGCGGTTTCCGTGACAATGTGTAGGTGTTGAGTACGGTACATGTAACGAAACTCGCAAATTTTGAAATGGGGTGGGAAAGACAAGGGCATTTTGGGAGTGAGTCAACGCATCAGACAGACCATCCTAACAACCTCACCGCCAGATGACGCTTTGCTCTTTTGTCTCCTCACCACCTCACCCATTCCCATGTGCTCCTCTTGTCGGCTATTTTATCCACGTCGTCCCTTTCAGACCGTACTTCTCATCTTTCACACTTCATTTTAGTTAGTCCGTCCTTCATAGGAGCCCTGTGTGTACATTTGTCACATCCCTCAGCCCCACTCCATAGTGCACTTCCTAGAGTACACAACCGTCCTTATCTGAACTCTTGATCGCGATGGCTCGTCTGGCGAGTCAGCGGCACGCAGCAGTATCACCTCGAGTGCTACTACTTCTCGCAATCACCGCATGCAGCGCCGCTCTCGCCGCGACAGAGGCCGCCGAAATCCGCACGCAATATGAAATCGCGATGATGGAAACCCTTTCAATGTCCGCCGAGGAGCGCATGCATCTAAACGCAGCGAGACTCGGCCGAGCAATGCTACAGCGGAACGACGACGTCGATGACGTCGACGAGAATGACGACGGCGATGCGGAAGATGCGGCCGGGGAGCTGCATTCGCGGCGTCGCGGGCTTAAAGATGGCGGAAAGGGGAAGCAGCTTGGCCTCAACCCGCCGCCTCTTAACTCCGGTCCGAGCATGGCGGACGTCAATGGGACGTTCTTCCGCTACGATTCCGTCGTTCCCAACGCTACCGTCGATTGGCGACTGACGAAATACATTTCGCCAATCCAGCGCCAGTTCCAGGTGCGGTAGTGCAGATGACTTTTTTCTTCTTTTTCTTTCGGCGCTCAAATTCGCAGGGCTTTCTGTTTGAAAAACACTTGATTTCCTCGTTGTTCCCGCTTCATACCCGTTCTACCACTTCATCTTCCCATTTACAGTTTTGGGGCGCGTCAAAGCGCGCGGCGCGTCGTTCCCGCAAAATAGTCTTGCTACCTTTTGAGATACCAGTCTTTTTCTAAACGGCCGTTTACACCGTCTTTCCATCCTCCTGTTTCGTTCCTTCAGTGCGCGAGCTGCTGGGTGATCGCAGCCGTCGATTCCATCTCCATGATGTGGGCGATCACCAACAGGAGCACCCCCTTAGTGCTGTCGCCGCAGCAGGTGTGCGACTGCGCGACGAAGCAGTGCTGCCAGGGCGGCTGGCCTGACTGGGCCTACTCCTACGTGCTCTTCAACGGCGGGCTCCAATCGGTCGACGACTACAGCTATATCGCGCAGGACAACCAGCTCTGCAGCATCAACGTGTCGATCCCTAACGCCGCTCAGGTGAGCGACGCCTTTCTCGTCGTTATCGTCGCATCGCCAGGTTTCCGGTCTACGTCGATTCTCGGACCGGCTTCTCAGATTCTCAATCCTTGTATTCATCGCGAAACTATGCTCTTCCTTGCGCGCAGATTACCGGCTGGGAGCTCGTGCCGCCTTACAATGCCATGGCTTTAATGAAGGCCGTCAGCATGCAGCCAGTGGTCGCCTTCCTTAGCGGCTCGTCAAAGGACTTCCAGGTGATTAGATCCTGTGGCTTTCCTTTGTTGTGCTTTGCATTATTCGTATCTCCTGGTATCGATATGTGTATTTCTATTTAATTTCCCAGTTGCGGTTACTGATATCGAGTTTCTTTATCGATGTTGATTCGCAGATGTACTCCTCGCGTGACATGGTGAAGATCTACGACGGGCTGTGCACGACGGATATCAATCATGCGGTTGTCGTCGTTGGTTACAACTATCTGGGTACCACCAATGGCAGTTACTGGATCATCAAGAATTCGTGGTTCGAAACGTGGGGCGACGACGGTTACATGTATCTCGCCATGTCGCCAGACATTCGCGGGAAATGCGGGCTTCACGCGTAAGCATCCACGAAGTTGAGAGAATGTTTCCATGCTAATCCTCACCGCCTCCCACTAGATAGTTTTTTGATTTCATTCTTTCGATTTGTACTAATGCTTGTCTTTTTCTGTCTCCATGTACCCCTTCCAGAATTCCGGCCATGTACCCGGTGTACTACCCCTTCGGTCCTCAGCCCGTCAAGATCTCCAACGGCCCCGTTAACCGAAAAGACGACGGCGATGACGGAAAGTGGTGGAACAAGGCTTTCACCATCAACTCCGATGCATGCCAGAAGCTCATCAACCCATGCGGACGCGGCACCTGTTACACCAAAAACGGAATCGCGCGGTGCGACTGCAGCGGGTTGACGAACTTTGTCGAAGTCTTTGGAGTGCCGACGTCGAAATGCGTGCCTCGGTTTCCGTGCAACAAGACGAACATCAACCCCTGCGGCGCTGGCTCCTGCAGCAACCCCGGCGATGGCTCCTACGCCTGCTCTTGCCCTGCCGTAAGTTCCCTTCCGTTCTTTCTACTAGATTTCTCAATTGTCGTTTTTAGCATGCCTTCCTCGTCTTCGTCGATTCCTCTTCTTACCATTCCTCTTCCTCTTCCCCTACTTCACCTTCCCTTCCTCTTCCCCTTCCCCTTCCCTTTCTCTTCACCTTCCCCCCTCTCTTCCCCTTCCCTTCCTCTTCACCTTCCCCCCTCTCTTCCCATTCCTCTTTTCCTCACCCCCTTTCTCCCTCAGGGCTACGCCATCGGAGCAGCATCTGATGGCACGCAGACGTGCGTGGGAGTGGCAACCACATCTACCTCTACTATCACATACACCACTGTTCCTGGAGATTCCTGCTCTGTAAGTTCATTCTCTGTGTCGTCACGTCTACCTCTACAATCCCATCTACCTCTACAATCACTTACACCACCGTTTCTGGCGACTCCTGCTCTGTACGTTTCATCTCCTGCTTGCTTACAATGCAAAGTTCGTCTGTTCTGTCTTAGCACATTTGCCAGGCCAGTCTCAGCTTCCTTCGTTCCTGTCTGTTTCTGAGCCTGTAAGCTCATTCTTGATGCCCGTTCTCATTCTGAATTTCTCCCTCCTCTCCCCCACTCGCGTTTCTGCAGGTTGTGGCAGCAGCGTTTGGCATCACCACCACCACCCTCTCATTGTTGAACCCCTTCCTCAACTGCTCGCTTCTGTACATCCCTCCTGGTAAGCTGTGCCATTCATAGATGTGCTCTTTTTTTCCTCTTTTTTTTCTCTTTCGTTAGGGCTTGCCCTGCTTTCCTCCTCTACACCCCACTCATAATTTGTTCTTGCCTTGCCATTTCTCCACCCCCTCCCCTCCGCCCTGCTCCCCCACCCTCCTCCATCTCATCCATCCAGGATTCGCTATTACCGTCTCCAATACAAGCACATCCTCCTCGCCCATCTGCACCGCAACCTACATCGTCACTCCCACCGACAACTGCACATCTCTCGCAAATACTTTCTTTGCGGGCAGCTTGACAAACCTCCAGAAGGCAAACCCACTCGTGTGCACAACCGGCCGCCCGGTGTACCCATCCCAGGCGATTTGCACGAGTGTAACGACTGCGGGTACCAGCGTGACGGTGCCGCAGTGCGGGCAGACGTACTCCTCCGTAGCCGGCGATACTTGCTCGTCTGTTGCCACCAAGTATCTCATCTCCCTCGCTACCTTCACTGGGTGAGTCTTCTCGTTCACTCGGTGAATCCCTCCCCCCCTCCCTCCTCTCTTCCCCCTCTTTGAGACATCCATTTTATTGCAAGAATTGTCTGAATACACTTGGAGCAGCAAGTCTCATTTCTACTCCCTGTCTTGTGATCTTTATCTGTTGCATCTGATGTACAGGTTGAATCCTGGACTGTCCTGCACCGGCTCTCTTCCCATTGGCTCCTACCTTTGCGTGGCTTCTAAAACTGTTCTGGTGAGTTGGTATCTCGCACTAGTGTTTTGGTCCGTCTGTTCTGTTGCCCACTCTGTTGATCCGTCTCCCTGTCCGTCTCTGTCTGCTCCAAGTCTCTTGTTTTAACACCACCTTTACTCTTTCTCACACCATCTCCCCCATCCACACGCTGTGCTGCAGCCCACTTACCTCCTCCTCCTTCCTCTCCCTCCCTCCCTCCCTCCCTTCCGCAGACCACGGTGAACTGCACGGCAACGTACACGGTGCTGCAGGGCGACAACTGCCCCAACATCTGGAACGCAGCCAACCTCACAGAACAGACCTTCCTTGCTATCAACCCCGGCATCAGGGTAATTTCAGAATTTTTTCTTACCTATAACCCTAACCCTACGGAGTTGCGACCTTTTCAGGACTAGGCATTCTCTTTGTCAGCTCACACATCATGTTATTACTCGTCATTACCCAGCATTACTCAGCACGACCCACCCTGTACCATCTTATCAATCTCACCTGTCGCGCTCACTCTCTTCGTCCGTCCTCCATCCCATTCTCCCTCCTGCCTCACCCCGCCAGTGCCAAGCACCCTACCTGCAAGTGGGTCAGAAGGTCTGCATCAGCTCGCCCATCCTCGCCACTCTCGTTGCCTCATCCAACACAAGCTACTCTCTCTACAAGGTCAAGGACGGTGACACACTCGCTCTCATCTCCTCCAGTTTCATCAACCGCTGCATCCCTGCCTCCGTCTCTCCTGCCGCCATCGCCGCCGAAAACAACATCCTCGAAACATCTGCTCTTGTTGTGGGGATGAACCTGATCATCCCGTGCGATTCCCGCGTGGGGATTATTGACTGCCAATGCGCGGCGTCGCTCCCGGTCTGCGGAGCTGACTATGTCACGTACCCTTCGTACTGCGATGCGGTTTGTAACTACGCCGTGCCGCTAGCACAGAATGACGTCTGCGGAGGCTGCAACGCTGCTTGCTTCGGCCGAACCGGGCTCGCACCGCTCGCCGGGTATGGTTGCACTTGGTCCGTGTGCCCGTACCCATTCTGGAAGCCGCTGGATACGGATTGCTCGGTTATGCTCGGTGACGCGCCCGGGAAGTGCTGCGATTTTCAGAAGACGACGTGTCAGAACTCGTGTACGGATGTGAAGGTGTCGCTGGGAGGGACGGCGACAGTGCAGACGACGAATTACAACAAGTGCTATGCGCAGTGCATGTGCTGCTCGCGGCTGCCCTGCGGCACTGGATCGTGCGCGGCTCCCAGCTCATGCTGGTCGGAATCCCCCCGCAAGTGTGTTTACGTCAACTTTGCGTACTCGTGGAACTGCACATGGTTCCCTCCGGCTTCACCGCTGCCTTAGCTGGTCTCACGTAAAGAATTTGGGAGTTTGAAGGTGCAGAAAGGATGCATTTCCTGTCTTGCTGCACATGGATTCTTCAGCCGGTTTCAACCATTTTATTTATTCATTTGCTGCTAGATAGTTTTGCTTGTTTCAATTATGTGAACACCTGTTCAATCTCTTGATGCTTGCAAGTAGATTTCATTACAGAATGAGCTGAATTGTGGCTCAGAAATTTGGGAGATAATAACAAATCAGGGCACTTGGTTGAAAGAAATGGTGCGTTCATACAAGTTGCTTTTACGTGTTGCTTTTTTTTTATTTCACGTGTTGCTTCGTTCATTTACTATGGCGAACAATCACCTCCATGACTAGTTCAAACCCTTTGTCAACGTCTATCGTCCATCTCCAAAATCTGTCAGTTTATCGACGGTGAAAAGTCACCGTAAGCGAACCGCATCAAGGAATTACCACCATTGTTTCCGAGTTTCTCGACCAGCCGCAATTCCCGCTCAAATTCAGGGGTTGTTTCGCGCCACGGCTGTCTGCTTTTCTGGGTTTCTACTCTCCAACTCGACGCACCTGGAAACATGGAGCTCGCCTCATCACATACCGACATCAGCTTTATCTTCCTTCACTTATCCTCCTCATCACAAATCAGCTTTACTAGTTTCGATTGGACTCCCCGGAACCATGTGACTTGCCTGCCACTTGTCGAAATCTCCGTCGCGCGGCTGTCGCCGTCCTACGCGCTGCAGCCTGTCGCTGTCACAACCAACGCGACGTCCCATTCCTATCTGAGTCCATCAGTCTCCTGTCATACTGTCTCGACCTTTCGTCTCGGTAGCATCACACTCGCCCTCGCTTGTTCCTCCATTGTCGCACTGCACTCGCCGAATGATACTAGCCGAGTTTGTCCAACCACGGTGTTTCTCCAACCGCGGGTGTTCGTCGCAACCGTCGCGTGTGCGAAGAACCCCAACAGTTTCCTCCCCCACTCACTCGGATGTCGCATGGCGTATCCGCAGTCGCTCCGTCACGTCTTTGTCGAGAGTCCTTATTCGAGACTAGTAGAGTCCGTGTGTTGGGAGAGTCTTTGTCGCACACTCACGCGTGCCACCGGAACGCGAAAACGACAGATTTGATGCAGCGTCGATGTCAGTCAGTGTCGCCAGACCCAATCAGTGACCTAGTCTCGCGCCGTCGAGCGATGAGTGCGACCAGCGTGTCGCCGCGGGATAGCGCCTGGTAGTAACTGTCACGTCATCTCCTTGCGTAGCCACCAGAACACCGCGAGAGGATCTATCCTGCTGGCATACCGTGTTACTAGTCCCGTCATCGCTCCTGCCGACAGACCCAAGAACAGTCGAGACAGCTGGCTTAGAGCAGCCTGGGTAGCTTGGAGAAATTCTGTCTTTCAACCTGAGCTAGTCACGTCATGGCTGCCACTACCAAAACCAAGAACAATCGAGACAGCTGGCTTAGCAAACAGCTTAGTAGTTGGTTCTCAGCCTGAGCTAGTCACGTCATCGCCCTCACCTTTCCCGCCCTCCGACCACTCCACATGAGTCTGAGGCGGCTCAACCGAGGCGGCGCGAGACTCACGCGAGAAGTCCGAAGCATGCCAGCGCACACGCGCTTCGGGGTGATAAGCGCGCCTCGGCATGCGCGACCTCCTGGGCACTCCTTCGCAAACGGCTCACTCACTGTCCGCTATTTCACTGCCCTCCCGCAGCAGCAGCAGGAGCAGCAACAGCATCTCTTCCCGTTCTTATTCTATCCATCTACTGCCCCTAAAGGTTGTCTTACCCTCCGCTATCATCCCTCGCTTTCGTGGCTGAAAGGGCAAAGCCCGAGGCTACTTCGTTGGAAACTCATATCCCCGTCCCTGCTTATCGATTCACTTACGATCGTTCAACAGTCAACTTATTCTCCGAACTTTTGCGACTCATCGGGTAGAGAAACTTGCGTCGCACGAGACACCTCGATATAACAGCTGCTGCACCGCGTTCCGTCGGCTAATCTGCTCCAACGGGCCTGCGAATCGCAGCATGGCGGGAAGTGGAACACGTGGCAGCGCTTGGTTGGCTGGACGGCGTGGTGTGGTCGCCTTAGCAGCAGTGCTGGTGGCAGCAGTTCTGTTCGAGGTTACTGATGCTCAAGGTGAGTGCGTAGCTAAGGGAGCTAGGATACTGATCTCTTCGACTTTTGAGGCGCCTCAAAAGCAGTGCTGGTGGCAGCAGCTCTGTCCGAGCTTACTGATGCTCAGGGTGAGAGTCTATTCAAGAGGGTCTATCTAAAAGAGGACTCGGGATGTTTTTGTTACCTTTTCCTTGCTTTGCGACCCTTCTTCGTCCCTTCTCCTTCTGCTTGATGACACGTACTCTTTTATTCCCATCTCGTCCCATTTCCCTCTCTCAGACCCCAACTGGCGGCAGCTCTACCCCCACACCTGCGACGCCTCACCTTCACTCCCCCGCCCCACATCTTTCTGCCACTCATTTTCGCCCCTCTCCGTCACCCCTTCTCCCTTTGCTTCTCTTACCTCCCCCCTCTCTCAGACCCCAACTGGCGCCAACTCTACCCCTAGATCCGCGATGCCGCCACCTTCACTCCCCCGCCCACCTCTTTCAACCCCTCTGTCTCCCCATTGCTCTCTGCCTCTCTTCCCCACCACCCCTCCCCTCTCCCCCCAGACCCCAACTGGCGCCAGCTCTACCCCTACATCCGCGATGCCGCCACCTTCACTCCCCCGCCCACCTCCACCCTCTCCGCATCCCCCCTCCCCTCCGCGGCCCCGCCCACGTTCGACTACATAGTGGTGGGAGGCGGTGCAGTGGGGTGCCCTCTGGCCGCCACGCTCTCTAAAGGCTTCTCCGTGCTGCTGCTGGAAAGAGGAGGCGTGCCCTACGACCAGGTATGTTAAAGAAGCACCTCTGATCACCTGTGAATCATCACCTCCTCTCCCCCTGGCTGCAACCCTCTCCTAGGGCTTCTCCGTGCTGCTGCTAAAACGAGAAGGGGTACCGTACGACCAGGTATGCTACCGCAAGCAGTACTGAATGGCTCAGCTTACCCCATACGACTGGCAGTTACGCCTTCTCCCCCCCCTGGCTGCAACCCTCTCCTAGGGCTTCTTAACGAGAAGAGCTTCAGCTTCACAAAATCTCAGTGATTAGCTAGTGTAGAAGTTTTACACACTGTAATTTCCTACTTGCTTAAACCTACTCCTATGCAAGTGCAGCTCACTGGAAGAATGTCCCAAGATCTGCTCTCACCCCTTCTTCCAATCTGCTTTCCTTCCTCTCAGCCCTCAGTGTACCGTCGAGAGGCTTTCCTCTACGTGCTCAGCACGAGGGCGTCGGTACCCTTCCGATCACGCACCGCTCTCACGTCCAGCTCTCAAGTGTACCGAAGGGAGGCTTTCCCTTACGTTCTCAGCACGCGGGCGTCGGTGCCCTTCCGCTCGAACCTCCACTCCATCTCCCTCCTTTCTTCCACCTCCTCCTGCCGCTCCTCCCTCAACTCCAGCCTTCAGCGTACTGCAGAGAGGCTTTCCCCTACGTGCTCAGCACGAGGGCGTCGGTCCCCTTGGCTGTCTCACTCACTCCCCTTCCCCATGTGACCTCCCTTCCCCACCCCCCAACTCCAGCCCTCGGTCTACCGAAGGGAGGCTTTCCCCTACGTGCTCAGCACGAGGGCGTCGGTCCCCTTCCGGTCAGAGGATGGAGTGTGGAACCGGAGAGGCATCGTGCTGGGCGGTGGCAGCTCTGTCAACGCTGGCTTCTACAGGTACTGCTGAATCTTCAGTGAATGTTCCATTAATAAGTGACTGTTCTTCAGCTGTGCCATTCCGGTCGGAGGATGGGGTGTGGAATCCACAGGGGATCGTGTTGGGCGTTCGGTGAACACTGGCTTCTACAGGTACTGGAGACTGATAATTCAATTGATTCTTCGTCTGGAAATGGCGAATAGACAGTGTTCGCTCAGCTGCAGGTACTGGATGAATGTTCAGTGAAAGCTCTGCTTCTGGTGTGGGTTCATAGTTTCTGCATCCTACCACTGATGCCATTTTGATTCGTCATTTTCTGGTGGGAGTGAATGTGTGTTTTTGTTTCCTGCTTCCCTGGCCCCCTCTCCTCGTGTGCTTCCCTGGCCCCCTCTCCTTGTTTCAGCAGCCATCACCCCCCTCCCCATGCTTCCTTGTACTGCCCCTCCCGCCCTCTCTCCCCCGTCCTTCCCCTTCCACCCCTCCCCCCCTTCCCGTCCTTTCAGTCGGGCATCAGCGGATTTCGTCCAGGCAGCAGGGTGGGACCCTGTGAGGGTGCGCCAGTCATTCGAGTGGGTGGAGGAGAGAATCGCGTTTGTGCCGCAGCAGCAGCCGGGCGGGTGGCAGCAGGCGTTCAGGGATGGCATGCTGGAGGCGGGATTAGGGCCGTGGAGAGGACAAACACCGGAGCATGTCATTGGGACCAAGGTGAGATGGTGTGACTATAACGAGGATAGAAAGTGTGTTGACTACAAAAAGGGTGGGGGGAAAGAGAGGCAGCAGCAGCCAGGAGGGTGGCAGCAGGCGTTCAGGGATGGCATGTTGGATGCGGGGCTGGGGCCGTGGAGGGGACAAGACACCGGAGCACGTCATTGGCTCCAAGGTGAGGCGTGACTTGTGATTATATCGAGGATGAAAAGTATGTGACTACTGTGGCAGCTGGCGAAAAGCATATCTGGCACATGTGAGGATTTTATAAAAGCAACGGCATGCGCAGGTGAGCAGCGAACCTGCTGGAGGCAGGAGACACCCATCCCAATTCCCCCGAATCCCTTTGTATTCCCTCTTTCCCCCTCCCCACTGCTCCCCACTCCCCACTACCACAGCTCGCCAACAGCATATTCGACAGCAACGGCACGCGCAGGACAGCAGCGGACCTGCTCAAAGCGGGGGACCCATCCCGGCTGACAGTGCTCGTATATGCCACGGTGCAGCGCATCCTGCTGGATGTCTCGACTGGTACGTTGGTGTGTGTTTGGTACTAGCGCCTGGTGTATGGTGCAAGGTGCAAGGTCACATGTGTGCTCGTGTATGCCACGGTGCAGCGTATTCTGCTGGACGTCACTAGCGGTAGGTGTGTGTGCTGGGTGCTGGTGCCTGGTATGTGAGTGGGGAGGCACCGCCCGCCTGACAGTGCTCGTGTATGCCACGGTGCAGCGCATTCTGCTCGATGTCACCAGTGGTAGGTTTGCTTGGTGCTGTTGCCTGGTGTGTGGTGCATAATGCGAGTGTGTTGGGTGCTGATGTGAGAGGCGGGAGGAGACTTGTCGAGGCTGACGGTGCTCGTGTATGCCACGGTGCAACGCATCCTGGTCGATGTTTTCGTGGTAGGTTTGCTTGGTGCTGTTGCCTGGTGTGTGGTGCATGGTACGTTTGTGTTGGGTGCAAATGTGCATGGTGGTACGGAACATAATGCACAGGGCAAACAAATGTGAGACGGGAAAATGTCTCCCAGCAGCCGCTTAGCAGCAGGTGTTTGTGCTTGCGACGTTGCAGCACATTTTCCTTGCTGCAGCTCATCATTCACTCCCCTCCCCTCTCTTCCCCTCCCCTCTCCCCTCACACATCTCCCCCCCCCCCCCCCCAGGCATTTGAGGGCAGCAGGAGTGGTGTTCACAGACAGCAGCAACCGTCGCCACATCGCCAGACTGAACCCCTTCCCTGCTCCTCCTCCTCCCAACCCATTTCCCCTTTCCCCCTGCCTCCTCCCATAATCTCCCCTCTCCGAACCACAGGCACCCCACGAGCAGTGGGAGTGGTGTTCACAGACAGCACCAACCGTCGCCACATTGCGCGTCTAAACCCAGGAGGCGAAGTCCTGCTAGCAGCGGGCGCACTGGGTTCGCCACAGCTGCTGCTGCTGAGCGGGCTGGGGCCACGAGAGAAGCTGGATCCGCTGGGGGTGCCGGTGGTGGCGGAGGTGCCGGGCGTGGGCGTGAACGTGACTGACGTTCCCATCAACGGCATCAACGTGCTGTCTCCCAGACCCGTTGAGGAGTCGTCACTGCAGGTAGGGTGACTAGGGGAGGGCATAGGCATGGGCATGGCATGGGTATGGGCAAGGAAGGGGGTGCTACCGCTGAGCGGGCTGGGACCGCGTGGAAAGCTGGATCCCGCACTCCTCTTCTGCCCTCATCCTTCTGTTCGTCGCCCCTTCTGTCCGTGCTCTCTCCCTCCTGTCCTCCTCGTCTCCTATCTTCCTGTCGATGTAGAGTATTTTTGAGAATTCTCGGCGATGTAGAGTATTTTTGAGAATTCTCGGCGATGTAGAGTATTTTTGAGAATTCTCGGCGATGTAGAGTATTTTTGAGAATTCTCGGCGATGTAGAGTATTTTTTAGAATTCTCAAAAATACTCTCCCTCCTGTCCTCCTCGTCTCCTATCTTCCTGTCCCTCTCTGGTCTGGTCCCTCTCTCCTATCTTCCTGTCCCTCTCTGGTCTGGTCCCTCTCTCCTATCTTCCTGTCCCTCTCTGGTCTGGTCCCTCTCTCCTATCTTCCTGTCCCTCTCTGGTCTGGTCCCTCTCTCCTATCTTCCTGTCCCTCTCTGGTCTGGTCCCTCTCTCCTATCTTCCTGTCCCTCTCTGGTCTGGTCCCTCTCTCCTATCTTCCTGTCCCTCTCTGGTCTGTTCCCTCGTCTCCTATCTTCCTGTCCCTCTCTGGTCTGGTCCCTCTCTCCTATCTTCCTGTCCCTCTCTGGTCTGGTCCCTCTCTCCTATCTTCCTGTCCCTCTCTGGTCCTTCCCTCCATTAGTTCGTGGCTGTAACACCAGAGGGCAACATTATTGAGGGTGCATCAGGGTCAAACCACACAATGAGCTGGCCGGGAGCAGGCGAGCTCAACACAGCCCCGCCTATTTTCTCTTGCACTCCCATTCTCCTGCCCTCCTATCCTCTCTCCCTCTCCATCAGTTCGTGGCTGTGACACCGGAAGGAAACATCATCGAAGGCGCATCAGGGTCGAACCACACCCTCAGCTGGCCGGGAGCAGGCGAGCTCAACACAGCCCCACCCATCAACCGCACGGGGGAGACGGAGGCAATGATTGAAGCAATGCTGCCATTCATCCCCGGCGTTATAGGCGACGTTCTGAATCGCGCAGGGTTTATTCTGCACAAGGTAAGGGAGGGGTGCGGTGCGGTGCGGTATGAAGTGTGGTGTGGTATGGGGTGTGGTGCGGTGCAGTGCAGTGTATTTGGGGAGCTTGAGCTCAACACAGCATCCCCCATCAATCCTTGGGGGGGGGGAGGGGGGAGGAGAAAGAGGCGATGATTGAAGTGACGCTGCCATATATTGTGGTGACTTTAGAGTCGACTCAACAGTCACCTTCCATCAACCGCGCGGGGGAGAAAGAGGTGATGACTGAAGCGATGCTGCCATGAATTCTTTGGCGTTATCCGAGACGTGCTCAACCAAGCCGGCTTCATCCTTCACATGGTAAGCAAACGGTGCGAATGTGCTGTGATGCGGTGCAGTGCGGTGTGTTTATGCAGCTCAACACAGCTCCTTCCATCAACCACACGGGGGAGAAAGAGGTGATGATTGAAGCCATGCTGCCTTTCATCCCCGGCGTCATCCGAAATGCTCTCAACCAAGCCGGATTTATACAAAGGGGTGCAGTGCAGTGCGGTGTCGTGTTGGTGGTGCAGTGTGCGGTGTGGGGCGGTGTCGTGCGGTGTGCTGATGTTTGAGGCCATGCTGCCATTCATTCCCGGCGTCATCCGAGACTCTCACAACCAACGTGGGTTCATTTTTCGGGAGGCAAGCGAGGGGTGCATTGTGTTGTGGTGACTTCTGTATGAAGAGGGACGCAAGGTGGACGCAAGGTGGACGCAAGGTGGACGCAAGGTGGACGCAAGGTGGACGCAAGGTGGACGCAAGGTGGACGCAAGGTGGACGCAAGGTGGACGCAAGGTGGACGCAAGGTGGACGCAATGTGGACGCAAGGTGGACGCAAACAAAACGACCTTCCCTTTCCCCATCCTGTCGCCTCTCTCCCCCCCATTTCCCTCTTCCCCGCACGTCACAGGTCTACCTCCCAACCTCACGAGGCTCAGTCACCCGCTGCCATTCTCAATCCCGCCCCTCTTTCTCCTCACACTCTCTCTCCATCGCCTCCCTCTCAATACCCCTTTCTCTCATCTCCCACCCCTCCTGCTACAGGTCTACCTGCCGGCCTCACGAGGCTCCCTCTCACTCGCATCCCTCAATGCCTCAGACAACCCCATCGTGCAATACAACTACTTCTCCGCCACCCAGGTATGCTGCCACACGTGTATAGTGATTCAAGCTTACATTGCTACAAGTACACCTCTCACCTCCCTCTCACTCGCATCCCTCAATGCCTCAGACAACCCCATTGTGCGATACAACTACTTCTCCGCTCCCCAGGTGTGCTGCCACATTTTTTAGGCGCGCAAAAGATCTTCTCCGCTCCCCAAGTATGCTGCCACACGTGTATAGCTGAGAGGTACAGCTATACCTCTCACCTCTCTCGCCCTTATGTTGCGTCCCTCAATGCCTCGGACAACCCCATCGTGCGATCCAACTACTTCTCCGCTCCCCAGGTATGGTGCTAGCGGTGTATAATGCTTTGTGGTTACAGTGCTACAGGTGTGCCTCTCACCTCTCACCTCCCTCAACCTCGCATCCCTCAATGCCTCAGACGATCCCATCGTGCGATCCAACTACTTTTCCGCCCCACAGGTATGCTGCTAGAGGGAGTGCCACAGGCTGTGCTACAGTTTATTTTTTAGATGTCCCAATGCTAGAAAGAGTTCCACACGGAATGCTACAGTTTATTTTTGAGATGTCTCAAAAGTTTTGAGTTTTGAGACGTCTCAAAGCTAGAAGGAGTGCCACAGGCAGTGCTCTGCATACCTCTCGTCCCCACCCCAATCCCACCTCCCTTCTCCTCAATCCCACTCGTCTCTTCCCTCGTCCACTTCTATCTCTCTCAGGACGTGGCCACATGTGTGAGGGGCGCGCAGCTGCTCACCAAGAGAGTCACCTCTAATGCTCGGCTGTGTAGCCCCTGTGCCTCCATCCGCCTCCTCTCCCCATCCCACCCAATCCCATGTCTCATCTCTCTCTCAGGACGTGGCCACGTGCGTGAGGGGCGCGCAGCTGCTCACCAAGATAGTCACCTCTAATGCCATGGCGCCTTTCCGCTACGACACCCCGCCCGTCGCTCTCTTGTAAGCACGCCCTCTATGACACCCCGCCTATCGCTCTTTTGTGAGCGACACCTCGCCTATCGCTCTTTTGTGAGCGACACCTCGCCTATCGCTCTTTTGTGAGCGACACCTCGCCTATCGCTCTTTTGTGAGCGACACCTCGCCTATCGCTCTTTTGTGAGCGACACCTCGCCTATCGCTCTTTTGTGAGCGACACCTCGCCTATCGCTCTTTTGTGAGCGACACCTCGCCTATCGCTCTTTTGTGAGCGACACCTCGCCTATCGCTCTTTTGTGAGCGACACCTCGCCTATCACTCTGCCCTCCCCGTCAACTTGTCTTTCTTCGTTCCTTCTCCCCTCCCCTCTTCTATCGTCTTCTCCCTGACTCTCTTCTTCATTCCCTCGTAAACCTTTCTTCCCTGATCAGGCTTTCCTTCTGCCCTTCTGTCCATGTTGTCCCCCATTCACCTTCACATCAATGCAGTCTGCTTTTGAGTCAACTCAAAAGCTGATTGGACTTTCCTTCTCCCCTTGTGTCCATGTTGCCCCCCATTCACCTTCACATCAATGCAGTCTCCTTGACCCTGGAGCTGCACTCGTCACTCCAGGAAACTACCTGGGAGCTTCCCCTGCTCTCCCAGACGTCTCCAACTTCACTGCGTCCGCTCAGTGGTGCAAGGTGGGTCTCTTTCAAAATCTAATATTTTGGAATTCCGTTTTTTTGGAATTCCGATTTCAGTTGACTCAAACACCTGCTCTCCCAGACGTCTCCAGCTTCACTGCAGCTGCTCAGTGGGTGCCGGGTGGGTCTCTCTCAAAAGCTAGTAACTTGGGATTTTGTTCTTAAGCTAGTATTCTCTCAAACACCTGCTCTCCCAAACATCTTCAACTTCACTGCATCTGCTCAGTGGGTGCCGGGTGGGTCTCTCTCAGTTTGTTTATTTTTAGTTTGTCTCAAAAGCTTCTTCCGCTCAATGTTGCACGGTGGTCTCCCTATATTCACTTTTGAGCGGTCTCAAATCCCCTGAGCATTAAAAAAAGCTTGTGAGAATTCGCAGAAGCAACTTCCTGATTCTTTCGCAGCAATAAATATTCTTTCCCCCCACCCCTGCTCCCTCCTCCCCCTTACCCCCACCAGCAGGACACCGTCACGGTCATTTGGCATGTCCACGCGGGCTGTCACAAGGGCGTGTGTCGTGTGTGTGGAAAGCAGCAGCGGAGTGCACAGCATGCTGTGCAGGCGCAAATGCTGATGAGAACTCAACGTATGAATCTCCTCCTCCTCCTTTCCCATCCTCCACCCACTCTACCCTCCCTATCTTCCCCCTCACAGGAAACCGTCATGGTTATTCGGCATTTCCACGGGGGGTGCGACAGGGGCGTGTGTGTGAACAGCAGCCACCAGAGACATCAGCAGGGTTGAGCCACATCTACACTTCCCCTCCCACCCTATCTCCCTCTCCACCACAACAGGACACTGTCACAGTCATCTGGCATTTCCACGGGGGCTGTCACAGGGGCGTGTGTGTGGACAGCAGCTATCGAGTGAACGGGGTGCAGGCGCTGCGGGTGGTGGATGGGTCAACCTTTCTCACCTCCCCCGGCACCAACCCTATGGCCACATGCCTCATGCTCGGGAGGTATGCATGGGTGGAGCGTGTATGAGTGGATATTGCATGTTGTGTGGATGATCATTTGGTGCATACAGGGTGCATGGGCTACTGAGTGAACAGCGTGCCCTGGCGTTAGTTTTTTATGGCGCAGAGGGTGGTGATGGATGGGTTGACTTTTGAGTCGGCTCAAAGTCAAAAGTCAATTTTTGAGTCACTCGAAAGTCAACTCGTTACTGAGTGAACAGCGTGCCCTGGCGTTAGTTTTTTATGGTGCAGAGGGTGGTGGTGGATGGGTCGACGTTTCTCACGTCCCCTGGCGCTAGTTTTTGAGTTAACGCAAGAAATGGGGGGGTATGGGATGAGCTTGAGCTTCCGGAAGAGGATGAACATGTGATTTACCAGTAGATGACTTGGGTGGGTCTTAGCTCTTTCACGAGTGTACTTCCCCTGCTCTTTCCCTGTCTCTATTCTTTCTTGCTTGCTTGCTGCCTGCTTCTTGTTTTTTCCATTTGCTTCCTTTTCCCACAGGTTTATTGGCCTGAACCTCCTGGAAGAAAGAGGCTTCAACATTTCAGCGGCATGAGGAAATACCCCATATGAATGCATTCAACAATGCTGAAATGTCCCACCAATGCTCCTATCAAGTTGCATCAGCCTTTGATATACTGTACTTGTGTGTTGTTACAGTATATAAAAATGCATGATTTTGTACAGCTGTGGTTACAGTGTGTTGTTACAGCCTTTCAAACCATCAGTAGTGTAATAGTAATCATGGCCATGTTATCAGAAAATCAATATTAAACATGTACTGTCATATATACTTATCGGCATCCTTGACCAAGATTAGCCCTGTTTCCCTAAGCTGCTTGCGCAGCTTTGCAGTTACATTCCAATCCAACACTCAACCTTGGTTGCAACACCCAGCCAGACAGAACAAACTTAGTTCCCATCCCACGCCAACACTCCATCTCAACCTTCCCCGACCCAATCCGACCCATCTACCCACATTTAGCATGCCGCGAGCACATTCTATTCCCTGCTCGGACACTCGCCTCTGCATTCTCCGAGTTATCAATCTGCTCCCCGCAAACCGCACAGAAATTCCCTGCTGAGTGTACCGAGCTGTTCTGGTACCGCTCAAAGAGGTCGCCGCCTCTTATGGAGTCGTGGTCGTTCATTATAAAGGGGACGCGTTGATCCCAGGGGTTGCGCGGGGCGCCGCTTGGGGTCGGGGTTGTGGGTGGCAGGGAGTTTAGTTTCTTGGACTTGGATAGATAGCTGGAATAGCTCTTGCTCTGATTGGACAGTGGACAGAAGGGGGTAGAGGGGGTGGAGGACAAGGGGAGGAGAGAAGAGGGAAAGGTGTGCAAAGTTTTGGGGTGAGTGGAAACGGGAGAAGAAGGACAGGAGAAAGTTACGAAGCAGGGGAAGTTCACGAGAACGGAACCTTTGCCCAACGGCGGCATTGCCCAATGGACAACTCCCAAGAAGGTGATAACGTCTTCCACTAAAGATTTTCAAGGCGCCTCAAAGAAGGTGAGGGGAAAAGAAGCTTAGGACGCTTAGGTAAACAGACGAAACCAGAAGGTTAACGAACACTTCTAAGAGCAACTGAAGCTGAGACTCCGAACAAGAACTTGGCAAAAAAGGCCTTGGAGCCGGGCATCTTGGGCAGGGCCAGGAGGAGCGGTCAAGGTAGCAGAGACAGCGCCTAAACAGCATCTTCTGACCTAAAGTCGATGTGAATCAACAAGTGCGATGGAACGTACCCCGAACTTGGCAAAGAAGGACTTGGAGCCGGGCGGCTTGGGCACGGGGCAGGCGGAGGGGTCAGCGGCAACAGCGGCGGTGAGCAGGTCGACCACTAGCACTGTGATGTCGTCCCTGAGACCCTTGGCCTTTATGGACTCCTGTGGAGGGGTGTGTGGCATGGAGAGGGATGACGCACTGTGATGTCGTCTTTTGAGGCGCCTCAAAAGTCGACCACAAGCACTGTGATGTCGTCCCTTAGGCCCTTGGCCTTTATGGACTCCTGTGGAGAGGTAATTCAAGGAGGTACAGGGGGGGAAGGCAGGGATGTCAGGGAGAGAGGGTAAGGTGGCAGCAGCGGCGGTGAGCAGGTCCACCACTCGCACTGTGATGTCGTCCCTTAGGCCCTTGGCCTTGATTGACTCCTGTGAGGGGTGACGGGGTTTCAAGGGGCGTGAAGCGGTGTGAAGGGGTGCGAAGGGATATGCAGAGGGGTGTGACGAGGCAGAGAGAGGCGTCAGATGCAGCAGAGGCGGACAGCAGGTCGACCACAAGCACTGTGATGTCATCCCTTAGGCCCTTGGCCTTGATGGACTCCTGTGCGGGGGGTTGAAGGGGTATGGAGAGGGATGACGAGGTATGCAGACGGGTGTGAGGAGACAGAGAGGAAGCAGAGGCAGCAGAGGCGGACAGCAGGTGAACCACAAGCACTGTGATGTCATCTTTGAGGCCCTTGGTGAGACAAGGTAGGGTGAGACCCTTGGACTTTGATGGACTCGTGTGCGGGCGGAAGGGTGAGACAAGGTAGGGGCCAGAAAAGGCAGGGATGGTGTGAAGCAGTGAGGGTAGTGAAGCAGCGGCACACAGCGGCTCACACAGGCCCACCACGAGCACTGTGACGCAGTCCCTCACGCCCTTGGCTGCGATGGGCTCTTGTGGAGTGTGGGGGAGGGAGTGGGGGATGGACCAACCCTCCTCCGCTGTGGTTGCATGCGGAGGAGGGTTGGTCAGAGTCCACAGCGCTGCATGCAAAGGAGCAGCAGCGGTGCAGGGCAGCCCACTGCATCACCTGGCTCGTTGGTCTGGGTCCACCACATCCCATGAGAACAGCACCACACACCGCCGCACAGCATCCCCACCCCAGCATACCTTGACTAGCAACGGCGCAGCAGCGGTGCAGGGCAGCCCTCTGCATCGCCTGGCGGCCTTGTCTGAGTCCACTGCGTCCCATAACCCGTCTGACGCCATCACCACCCTGCCTCCCGCTTGAGGGACCTGGAGAGTGGACGGAAAGGGGCAGACACGGACACACATAGGCGCAGATGGGTACAAAGGGGCAGAGAGGGGTGCGCATGCAGCCAGGCCTGAGTCCACTGCGTCCCATAACCCGTCTGACGCCAGGTCATCCCCCTGCCTCCCGCCTGGGGGACCTGGAAGGAGGGAAAGAATGCACATGCAAAACAAATGATTGCACAAGCACAGAGGGAAGGGAAGGGGCGGAGAGGGGCACAGAAAGGTAGCGAGGGGCACTCTTCCCCCCATGACGCACACTGTAATGTATGAACATCCCTCCGCACTCCTCCAAAACCCACCTGAATCTACTTGACATGCGGCAGCGGCGTGATGAACGTGCCACAGTCCACATTGCATTCCACTCCCACACACCAACACAATTCGCCCCCCTATTCCTCTTCCCCATGAGCACACATTGCATGCACACTGCATGCACACTGCATACACACTGCATGCACACTGCACGCACACTGCATGCACACTGCATGCACATCCCTCGACTGCCGACCACACCCATGTCTCCACCTGAATCTGCTTGACATGCGGCAGCGGTGTGATGAACGTCCCACAATCCACATCGCCTATCGACCGCGACACACACAGCCCTCCCGGCCAGCTGCGCAGCGGGCCCAGCTGTAGACGAGAGGCAGAAGGGCGTGGGGAGAGAGGAGATAGCAGGGGATAGCGGGGACAGAGCGAATGGCTTTTGAGTCAACTCAACCGTACCACAGTCCACATCGCCTATCGACCGCGACACACACAGCCCGCCCGGCCAACTGCGCAGCGGGCCCAGCTGTAGATTCGGGCAAGCGAAAGGGGATGGAGGAGGGGGAGGGAAAACAATCATCCCGTAAGCACCCAGATTGAAGATAGTGTCGAATCAAAGACATAGTTGACTTCTATTGGGGGGGTATAATCTTATGAAGATAATCGCCTTAGGACCCCATTTACCAGTATAAGATAAGATGTATGTCTTATGATCGAAACCGTAATGTATTATAGTGAATTGAAATACAACGTACGTCCACTTGTGAAACGCAAATTCGTCCGCGTGATGACTCAGAAAATCCCAAATCGACCTCAACAGCCATTCTTGCTTGAGTGTCCCCAACAACGGTTGCCAAAATCGGAAGCTTTGGGACATCCACACTCATTATGAGAAATCCATTTGTAAATACACAATAATATGAGATAAGACACCAATAACCTTCCGTTTACAAGATAGCCATACATTTTTTCAACCAGAAGAAGACAAGACACATATGTCTTCTATCGGAGCGATGTCGGTAGTATTGTCTTGAAACCTTTTCCCATCTCATGTGCCATTGTAACACCAGTACCTTGATTGCAACAGTGAAATTCATCCTTGGAATTACACATATAAGGTCACACGCACACATGACAACACATCTGGTATTACACCTACCTACCTGACAACACACTTTGAGACACCTGAAAACACACCTGAGCACCCTCACAACACACCTGAGCACCCTCAAAACACACCTGAGCACCCTCACAACACACCTGAGCACCCTCACAACACACCTGAGCACCCTCACAACACACCTGCGTGCCATCGAAGGTCCGAAGCCTGGCGAGTTGGCCGCCCTCCTTGAGCACTCTGTTGCACCTGGTCAGGTGGTTTCAACAGACAGGGCAGCGAGAGAGATTTAAGACGACTTGAAAATCACTTCTGTTGCACCTGGTCAGGTGGTTTCAACAGACAGGGCAGCTTAGAGATTTAAGTCGACTCGAAAGTCACTTCTGTTGCACCTGGTCAGGTGGTTTCAGCAGACAGGGCATCGAGACAGGGCACCACGAGCAGACCAGGTCAGAAGCGCCCTGTTGAGTCCCCCGAAGCTACCTCAAGGTTAGTATGACCCGCCAATCTTCCAAGAAAACCTCACTAGCCCTTTCCCTCCCCCACTCCCCCCCCCCCACAAACACCCCCTCCTCTCCTCTTCCTACCCCACTCACTCGTCCTCTGAGACTTCGAATCGGTGGTCCAGCGACAGCGGTGTGACGCCCCCCCCAGTGGTGTCTAGAATGACTCGCGAGTCCCCCACTGCTGCCTTCAAACTAGCGCAAATCAGGAGACGCACCCCCCTCACTCCCCCGTTCTGCCATTCTGCCCCACTCACTCATCTTCGGAGACTTCGAATCGGTGGTCCAGGGAGAGCGGCGTTACGCCCCCTCCAGTGGTGTCCAGAATGGCTCGCGAGTCCCCCACGGCTGCCACTGTGACCGTCCATCCCGACACGATCGCCACCGTTGCTGTCGCCCCTGACGGCTGGCCGCCTGGTGTTGGAAGGTGGGGAGGTGGGGCGGATGAATAAGCGGGTGGTTAGGTGGCGGGAGGGTGTGTGCATACATCCAGGGAGTACCCACGGCTGCCACTGTCACCGTCCATCCCGAGACAATCGCCAGCGTTGCTGTCGCTCCTGACGGCTGGCCCCCTGGTGTTAGAATAGCGGGAAGCGGGCGGGGATTACGGTTTACACGGGAGGTTGGGGGCAAAGGAGGATGCATAAATCCCACGGGTCCCCCCCTGCTGCCACTGTCACCGTCCATCCCGACACTATCGCCACCGTTGCTGTCGCTCCGGACGGCTGGCTCCCTGGTGTTGGGATGCCAAAGGGGGGGAGGCTGTTGGGTCACTAGGAGATTGGGCGACGGAATATAAGAGGGAGGGAGATGGAGCATGGGAGGCAAGGCGAGAGATTGAGAAGTTGAGGCGGGGAGAGGGTGGGAGGGTGGGGGCACGCACATGCTCGCATGCATGCATGCGCGCGCGTGCAGCACTCACGCAGGGCAAACGTGTTGTGGCATTTGAGAAACCCTTCGGCCAGCGCCATCGGTAGTGCCTTCAACCACGCATCCCTCCCTCCCCCGCCTCCGCCTCCGCCACCGCCACCGCCGCCGCCGCCACTTTCCAACACAGCCGCGCCTTCCCCGTCGCGCGGTTGACTCGTGACCTCGGCCTCCTCGCCCTTCTCCCCCGCGTCCTCTCGGTACGACGCCCCCCCCGGCAGGTACTCGCTCACGAACCCCAGCAGCTCCTTCTTGCAGTGCATGGCGGCCGCCGTGCCGTTGTGCCCGTCGAACACCTGAGCGGATGGTGGAGGGGAAGGAGCGGGCGAGCGGGGGAAGCAGGGTAAGGAGGTGGGGAGGAATGGGGAGGAGTGGTGGGGATGATTGGAGAGTACTCGCTCACGAACCCCAGCAGCTCCTTCTTGCATTGCATGGCGGCCGCCGTGCCGTTGTGCCCGTCGAACACCTGAAGGACTGGGGAGGGAAGGAGCGGAAGGAGGGGGGAGCGTGCGGAGGAATTGGGCGGGGGGCGGGGGGCGGGGTGAGGGGGTTTGAAGAAAGGAAGGGAAGTTGAGGTGCAACGAATACACCGACAAGCGCGGCGGGAATTGGAGTTGGCGAGCGCAGTTGACGCCGCAGTTGACGCCTCTACGGCAAACTTCGCAATAAACACACACCGACAGACACACCAACAAGCACAACCGGAGCTCGACTTACGCAGTAGACGCCGCAGTTGACGCCGCCTAGCCGGTAGTTCGCGAGAGCCATGTGAAAGTCCTCGCCTTTCTTCACTTGCTCCGCCACCGTGAACCGAACCACCGGATCCGCCGCCGCCGCATCCGCCGCCAAACGCGAAGGCAACTCCGTGGGGGCGGTCACCGGCCGGCCCTCGGGAATGCCGCCGGTGATCGGGGTGGAAACGGCATCCTCGGTATAAGACGAGCTTTCGCTTAACGCGGATGTCGAGGCGGATTTGACGGTGACTCCTAGCGACGCGACGGCGGACATGGATGCGACTTGTGCGGTCATGGATGGGAGAGGGCCTTAACGATGCAAGCCGTCCTAAAAGATCCGGTCCGATACAACACGCCGATAGGATACGATACGATACGATATGATGCAGTTATCAGGCTTCCTACGGCTGGTAAGACGCTGATCGGACAGACTTCTGACTAGGTAGACAATACTCGAAGAGACGGACGACGTCGCGATGAGTGATTTTACTGAACATTAGGTTTTGGTTCCTAGATATGACTAACAATGATGGAAGCGGTGGGAGGCAGGAATGCAAGGATGCGCCATGTCTTGTCTTTGCAGTCATTCCTGGTGGTCACGTGCTCGATTCTCCATGCTGCCATAGCATGCTCGCTGCGCTTAGTAAAGCCTGCTGACGTCAGCATCTAATTAAGGACATCTGCCGCTTCCACCGTAGAATCTCAGACGAATGAGATTCGCGGGTTGGCTTGACGATCCAGTCAAAAGGCAGACACTTCAGAGTATTGGCTGGGTTCGTGAGTTCGAAAAGCTTATCGCGAAGATAATTCGCGAGGATGAGTAATGTCAGAAAAAACGTGTTCTGGACGTGACCAGCTAAATAAACGCGATGTGGTAAATAATGAATACCACCTTCCCTCGCCGACCTGCTACTCGCCGAGGGAATGTACCTCCTGCTTGGCTGTTCGCACGACCAACGAAAGAGGGTGATGAGACAACGACAGCTGATTTTCTAGCCGGACGAAGCCCAGATACAGTGTTAGTCCGAAGGATTTGGTCTGGTTTTGGCTCGGCCCAGCTTGCCTTGCTGATCGACGTCTTGCTGCTGTCGCTCTAGCCCTCGCCGCGTTGCAAATGGCTAAGGTTGCCACACGCACAAGATAAGGGAAGGCCGCGGCGAGCGAATAGGCGAGAGCAAGAAAGCACGAAGTTTTACAGCTCAGCTGGAGTTGGAGCGATGGCAGCAATGCAAGTATTGTTCGGGATGGACTACCTGGGACTCTGATGGGGAGAATGGATCCTCGAACTTTGCTGCTTGTGCTTTCGAGCTTGAGTTGGTGTGAGTATGGTTATAGAATGGTTGGTAGAGATCTCAGTACGGTGCGGTGGGATATGGACGGTGGAAGAAGTCGGGCCCGAGTTGCACGGTTTTGTGTGTGGCACAAGCAGGGAGGATCACCAAACCAAATCACCAACAAGTGACCGTAAATGATTGATTAGGCAGATACTTTGCCCACTAATTTCAGCGAAATGTACATCGTCGCTTATGAAACATTGCCTTTAAGCAAGCATTGGATGCGCGTAGGGTTCTGGGCAGCATTTGTTTTCCCAACGCGTCTCTAAACGTCGAGCGACGACTATCTCCGCAGCCAGGATATTCTGGGAGAACTTGCGAAGAAGCCCTGATCGCTTCGCGTAAAAGGAGGAGGTTCGGCCTGGCAAACCAACCAACGGGAAAAGGAGGCGCAGCGAACGTCAGATTAGGAGCACGACCCACCGATACGATCCACGTGGACAATCCGCGGGTGGTTGTGGAATCTGGGAGGCTGCAAATGACACGGGTGACGTCCAACACATGTCAAAGATGGGGCCAGGAGGACCTGGTTACATCACATGATCCCATGTGGTCGTGGAACTGACGGCGGTTGGCCGCTTTGCCGTGCTGTCCCACAGCCTGAGGAAGGCGGAATGCGGCGATTGCGAAAAGTTTCGAGGGAGAAGATCATACAGGGGCCGAACAGTGCCAGAGAGGTGATCTACCAGGGGCCGAGAGGCCCGGAACTAACCAAACCACTGCGCAAAGAGATATTTGCAGAAAGACATCGGTTTCGCACTTATGTTTGTTAAATATTTGCATTTTCGCTCGAGCGTCATTAATTCATGGAGATCGTTAATGATTCATGACCTTCCACCCAATAGAGTCGTTTATCGAGCCAGAAACTATTAGGGCATCCAAAACAAACTAAAACCACTAGGGAATCTGGATGCATTTTCGGGATGGATCAACCCTAAAAACAGACATTCATGGCGTTTAGGAATGATGCCTCCCGAGTCGCACCCGTATTCGAACGGGTTATATTTTTTTTTATGCGCGTTTCGTTCGGGAAGGTTATATGTATTACCAATAACATAATATGTCGCTTTGGACTCACAAATCAACACGGCGAATGTAACTTTGAGATAAGTGCGACGCGCGCGCTGTAGTAGAATACCAAAATAATGTAATATAAAAAACTCGGTGCGCTAAGCATTTACCCTTTTTTACGGTTCGGCTTGCTTGCCTAACCGCTTGGGCAGCTCCGAGTTAATATCCTACGGTCGAGACTTTTCGGCCCTACTTTTGTCATTTCTCTGGTACTCTTCGGCCCCACTTTGATCAATTCCCAAGTTCCGATAGCAGTTCGGTACAGGCGCGATATGATTGGATGGTTGTCAAACATTTTAACCAATAGCGAGCCTAGGTGGTCAGTTCTTTACGGCTCGGCCAATCGAGTCTGGCTCTTGAAGCAGCGGGAAGCCAAGTGAGGCCCGTGTCAGACTGCCATAGGTTTTTCTTCGCCGACTCGATTCAAACACAAGGTCTTGTACAAACTTTTTGAAGCAGCACCATAGCAAAGTTAGTATGATGTAAATGCCCAGTCACCAACTCTTATACCTCCATTATGCTCCAGTGCAGGTGTCATTTTGTGTGACGTAAGCAAACCTGTGGTCATCTACCAGAAGAACTACATTTAGTATTAGTAACATAGACACCTTCGCTCCATTTATGAATCCCACTTGCGGAACCAAGGATGCTCTGCACACGGGTAGTATGGGAAAGAGAGGAATGAAGTACGGTATGCTTGACTGAGTGAAGGGAGAAGAAGAGGCTGGTACGCACTGATTGATAATAGGCAACAACTAATATATGCAAGGCTAAATACGTACCGAGTGCAGCACGAGCAGTAATTCTCTTCTTCTGGTTGTGCGTCAGCAGCTGGCGAATCAAATCCTTCCCCGCATCTGACACATTTCTCCACACAGCGCCCCGGAACCCCACCTTGCCCTCCCGAATCGCCTTGGTCACATCGGCTTCTGTCTTGGCCCAGAAAGGAGGTATGCCGGCCAGCAGCACGTATAAGACAACGCCTGCCGACCACACATCGGCTGGGAAGCCATAAGAGCCTTCGATCACCTCTGGGGCGACGTAGTAGAGTGAGCCGACAAAATCTGAGAGTGGCTTGGAGCCTGGTGTAAGGGAGGGGGAGGGAGGGGGAGGGAAGGGGGGGGGGAGGGGGGAGGGAGGAGGGGGGGAGGGGGAGGGAGGGAGAGGGAGGGAGAGGGAGAGAAAACAGGGGGTAGGACTACTGAAACTGCAGTGTGTGGGTGGAATCAATGGTCACCCCATGCAGTAAAGCAAGCCTGCAATGCCGGAGAAGGAAATGGATCGGAGAAGAGCGACTGCTTGATTGCCTTGGAACAGCGAGGAAGACGTCTGGTGAAGGGGGTGAAGCTTGGAAGGATGCAGAGCAGAAGTACAAATGGGTGATCTTGTATCTGGCTTCAGGATGGCGGAGACTCCAAAGTCGACGACCCGGACGTCGGTGTGGGAGGCAGGCAGGACGCAGTGCAAAAGAAGATGGACGATCAAGCACCTGGCTTCAGGATCGCGGAGATCCGGAAATCAATGATGCAGGAGCCGGTGTGGGAGCAGTCATTTTAAAGAATTGTCAAGAATGACTCAAATGGGGGATCTCGTACCTGGCTTTAAGATGACGGGAATCCCGAATTCCATCATGCGGACGTCGTTGTGGGAGGAGGGCGAGGCGAGGATGCGGCGCAGTACAGAAAACACAAGGAGGATTTTTTACCTGGCTTGAGGATAGCAGAGATCCTGAAGTCGATGACGCGCACGTCGGTGTGGAGAAGGGGTGGGCGAGGAGGATGTTTTGAGACATCTCAAAAATCAGCATGATGAAGTGCAGAAGTGAATGGGGGATCTCATACCTGGCTTGAGGATGGCGGAGATCCCGAAGTCGATGACGCGCACGTCGGTGTGGGAGGAGGGGTGGGCGAGGAGGATGTTTTCGGGCTTGATGTCGCGGTGCACCACGTGGTGGCGCTGGTGGCAGCTCTGCAGCACGCCCAGCACCGCGCGCATCACCACCGCCGCCTCCCTCTCGCTGTACCGCCGCCGCTCCTTGATTCGATCGAACAGCTCGCCGCCCGAACACAGCTCCATTACTAGGTGGACGGCCTTTAGGGTGGAAGGGGGGAAGAGGATGGTGGGGGGAGGGGGGGTGGGTGGGTGGTATTTGACAAGTGCTGACTTGCGTTGTGTTTCTTGCTGTACCGCCGCCGCTGCTTGATGCGACCAAACAGCTCGCCAAACGAGCTGAGTTCCGTCACCAGGTGGACGGCCTTTGAGGGGGGGAAGTTTGAAAGGGAGGGGGAATATTTCAAGTGCTGAATTGAGTGGCAAATGTGGGAGAGCGGGTGTTGAAGGGAAGATATGTCGGGGTTGTTATTTGGGGCGTTAAGTTGCTGGGATGAGCGCGGATTTGACTTGAATGGCTGATTCAACCCCCATCACTCATTCACTCACTTACTCACACCCCACGAAATCTCACCTGCTCGTTTTCAAAGACATCCTTCAGCTGCACCACCTTGGGGTGCGTTTTAAGCATCTCCATTATAGCCACCTCGCGCCTCACATCGTCTGCGTCTGTCTTGCTCTGCTTGCAAAGGAAGAAACGAGGATGACAGGATGGAACAGTGAGGGGTGAGAGAGGCAAGATTGAAAGGATGTGAACTGGGTGAATGATGCGGATCAGGCAGTAAAACGGAAATGGGGCAATTCTGTAAATCAATTCAATTATGTAAAGGGGAGTGGAAAAATGTACTATTGCAAGTAAAAATTTGTGTATTCAGACCTCCTTGCGGTTCAGCCTGCTATTTTCATTATGTCGCGTATAGAATGAGCTCGACAAGCTCGATAGGATGATCTGCGTGACCCTGAACTTTCAATTTCCGAACGGACTGGTGTCAAATTTGTGAATCCACTAACATTCCACCCTCTCCTGCCAACCGTCTCCTGCCCGACGAGACTATGGTTACAGGATTTACGAAATTGAAGACTCAGTCTCGATAGGATTCGCCAGACCTTGTCGCACAGCCTGAACTTCACCACAGCCACAAGATAGTTTCGCTCGAACGTTGGCTAGTTCTGCTTGCGAATGCACTCAAACAAATTCCGTGCTGCGGATTCAGGGATTACTGACGAGAGAGTCCTGAAAATGACTAGCCTGATGGCTGCCGGCGAATAGGTAGCCTGATCAATTGGCGAATATCTAGCCTTACGACTACTGGCGAATAACTAGCCTTGTGAATCCTGGCGAAGAATATCTACCCAGATGTTTGCTAGCGATGATGTAGCCTGATGACTGCTGGCGAATAACTAGCCTGATGATCACTGGCGAATCACTAGCCTATTGACTGCTGACGAGTAACCAGCCTGGTTACTGCTGGCGATCGAGTAGACTGAGGGCTGCTGGATAATAATTAGCCTGATGACTGCTGGCGAATAGTTAGCCTAAAAACCGCTGGTGAGTAATTAGCCTCCTGACTGCTGACGAATGACTAGCCTGATTACCGCTGGAGAGACACTAACCCGATGATTGCTTATGAGTAAATACCCTAAAAACAACTGTCAAGGTACTTGTAAATGACCGAACCTACGTTGACTCAAGGAACAACGGCAGGTTGGCTCTGACTGGATGTACATCGACATTGCCTGATGGTACCTACTACCTTCACATTGACTACCTGATGATCACTGGTGAGCGCTTTTGAGTCGACTCAAAAGCAAGCTGGATGTACAACGACATTGCCTGATGGTACCTACTACCTTCACATTGACTACCTGATGATCACTGGTGAGCGCTTTTGAGTCGACTCAAAAGCAAGCTGGATGTACAACGACATTGCCTGATGGTACCTACTACCTTCACATTGACTACCTGATGATCACTGGTGAGCGCTTTTGAGTCGACTCAAAAGCAAGCTGGATGTACAACGACATTGCCTGATGGTACCTACTACCTTCACATTGACTACCTGATGATCACTGCGGAGGGGAGTGACTACTGGCGAAAAATAACTAGCCTGATAACTGCTGGTAAGTAACTAACCTATGATTGCTGCTGAGTAATTACTCAGGTGATTGTTGACGAATTACTAGCCTGATAACTCCTGTAGGACAAGTACCCTGATAACTGCGACCAAGCCTGACGACGGCTGGCGAGACACTAACATGTTGACTGCTGCCGATCAAGTAGCCTCATAAGTGCTACTGAGTAACTCGCCTGATGACTGCTGGCGGATAACCAGCGTTGTTTGACGCTGAACTGAGGGACAAGTAGCATGCTAGTTGCAAAGGAACCATGACTGGCTGGAAAAGCAAACGCGAACAAGACAGAGCTGGCCCTGATTAGCGCAAACGAACTGACCTTCAGAGCAGCCTTGTTGATTGTCTTGCATGCAAATTTCTCCCCAGTCGCTCGGCACACCGCCACCCGTGTCACGCCAAACTGTCCCGACCCAAGCTCCTTATCCATCTGCACCGCATACGACGCCCCTACATCCCTATACTCGCCTCCCAGAATGTTTACTGCTCCCACCCCTCCTCCCACGAGCTTACTAAACCCCTTCATTGCTTTTTCCAGGAATCTTTTCCCCTTGGCGCGGAAAAACGACTGGTGTAACTCCTCTAAAGCTGCATCGTCTTCAAGCAAGTCGTCTTGTAAGGAGGATGCTGAAGCAGGAGAGGAGGTGCGAGTTGGCGTTTTGGGTCGCACTTGTGCTTCGTTATAAGCAGATCCACTACCAGATCCGGTGGAGGCCGAAGACGGCATTCGGGTGGGAGTCTTGGACCTCCTTTCACCTGAAGGGTTGTTATCCCCGTTATAGCCAGACCCAGTAGAAGCAGAGGACGGCATGCGAGTAGGAGTCTTAGGCCTGCCTTTGCCTGACGCTTGCACATCCTCGCTATAAGCAGACCCAGTGGAAGCAGAGGACGGCATGCGGGTAGGAGTCTTAACTCTCGGTTCACCCGTAGAATGCTTTTCCTTTTCCCCGCTATAAGGAGTCCCAACAGAAGCAGAAGAGGGCATACGAGTGGGCGTTTTGGGCCTGCCTTTATCCTCGTTATGAGCAGATCCGGTGGATGCAGAGGAGGAGGTTCGAGTTGGTGTTTTGGGTGTGCTTCCATGGGCTTGGGGGGCTGCAGCAGCACTAGAAGTCGAAGAGGAGCGGGTGGGCGTTCGTGGCCCACCTGAACCGCCACCTGAACTGCCACCTGAACTGCCACCTGAAGCACCTGAAGAATGACCTGCAGAGGAGGCAGAAGAGGACGAGCTGAACCTCTGCGGCTGCTTGCTTCTCATCTGCACCTGCGAGGAGCCTTCCTTGAAGCTTCCTCCCTGCCCTCTGCTGCCCTTCCCTTGACCCTCCCCCACAGCAGGAGGGTTAGAAGGGGCGTCCCTTCGCGGCACGGGGGAGGGGGAGGGGGAATCGTTGGGGGAGGTGATGGGGGAGGCGGAGGGGGATGCTTTGGTGGAAAGCTTGGGGGGACGAAGGTGACGGCTTTCGGACGGACCAGCAGCAGCGGCAGCAGCAGCAGCAGCAGCAGCAGCAGCAGCGGTAACACCAACAGCAGAGTGAGGAGCATCGGATATATCGCTGATGCTGCTGCTTTGGGACCTCTGCCTCATGCTGCTCCCACTGCCACTCCCACTGCCACTCCCACTCCCACTCCCACTGCCACTGCCAATGCCACTGCTCCCACCACCACCAGCACCACTACCACCAGCAGCGCCACCAGCAGCACCAGCAGCAGCAGCAGCACCAGCGCCAGTGTGACCTGGTCCACCTACAGTGCTGCTCCTCCGAATCACAAACCGCACGCCGCCAGAGGTAGAACCTTGGCCCGGTGCAAGGCCGGTTCGGGGGCTGACCAGAGCTGCTGTGGAGGTCCGGCGAGTTTGGGGAGGGGAGTGGTCTAGAGAATGAGAGTGTGACATGACTGGATGGTGACTATTATGAGGGAAGAGGTCAATTTCCCCTGTGGCATTCTCAGGCTCAGGTGTGAGGTGAGAGTGCTGGTGGGAGTGAGGGGGCGAGTAGTCAACAGAGTGAGAGTGGGCCATTCTGGAAAGCGGGCTGCGAGGAGGGGAGAAATCCACAGATGCCGCGTGGCCGCGTCTGATTGGCCGGTTGAGCGACTCGGTCTCGGCTGATTGGTGTCTAGCCAGCCGCCTCCCCCCACTACCCGCACCAACCCCACCAGCCACAGCAGCCCCAGCAGCACCAGCAGGCGCTCCTATTGGCCTCACTCCCCTTCCCGCTCCAACTGCGTTTTCACTGGAGTTGCTTCTGGGACTCATGCTACCACTCACGTCCCCACTGCCTGTCCTTCTTACTACTTGATGCTGCTGCTGCCATTCCTGCCGCTGTCGCTGCCTCTCCACGTCTGACGTGTACCTCCTCTGCAGCCTGCGCCCACCTGGCGATACACCCCCTGCCACGTCACCACCATCCACGTCACTATCCGCCACGTCAGCAGCACTGGCAAAATGCCGCAGATTAACCCCCGGACCCGGAACGAGCGACGTGCCATCACCCCCTTCGCTCATGCTCTTGTGCATCCTCCGAAACGCTCCCCCCTGCGGTGTCAGCCCGCGCCCTCCCGTATGCCCACCTGTCCACCCTCCCCCTTGCCCTCCTGTCCGCCCTCCCACTTGCCCTCCCACCTGCACTCCCACCCGGCCGCCCTGTGTCCCCCGCACACTGAACGGCCCATCGCCCTCCTCTGCACTGCTGCTCTCCGGCACACGAGCCAGAGGCTGCACGAGGTGCGGAGATTGTGGCAGGGCGAGGTGCGGGGAGAGAGGCATGTGGCCGTCCTGCGGGGCACCCTGAGAGAGAGGACCGAGCATCGGACGGGAGCTGTGCCCCCCTTGCCCCTGCATGCGGACTTCCCGCGGGCTGATCAGAGCGGCCGCTGTGCTGTGCCCATGCGCGCCAGCTGCTGCTGCACCCACGGCGTATCCATCATGCACGGCTGAGCCTAGAAGGACCCTGGGCCTTGCGCGGTCATGTGTCCCGGCTGCAGTAGCAGCATCGGTGGCAACGCTGACCCTGCTCCTAATGGGAATGCTGCTGCCGTCCACAGTAGCAGCACGCGGCAAAGGAGAGGTGAACCCCCCCAGGGAGCCCCCTCCCCTCGCACGTATATGCTGCTGACTGCGCTCCCGCTGCTCCCACTGCCCTCCCTGTTCTCCCTCCCTCCCCTCTCCCCTGCCACTAGTGCCAGTACCAGTAGCACCAGCCTCCCCAGGGGATGCCTCCCTGCTCCTGCTTCCCACCACTGTTGCACTCATGCTACGTGGCAGCCCCTTATTGGACGGCGACGGCTCCCTGCTTCTTGAGAATCTTCCAGCAAGACGAATGTCCTCGTTGCTTCCACCCCTCCCCCTCTCCCAATCCCCTCCACCCCCCATCCGCGCAACCCCCACTCCCGCCACTCTCTCCCATCCCCCTCCATCGCCCCTGTCTCCTCTCCCTCCTCCCCTTCCCCCCGGCACTCCTCCCCCCCGTCCCCCGCTTCCCCCTCTCCCCCCCCGCCCTTCCCCCCACAGGCGCGGGGAGAGCTCAGCGGAAGCAGCAGAGCAGCTTCTGCTGTGCCAGGGGGAGCTAGGGCGGGGGAAGAGTGCATCGGGGGAGGTGCTTCTGGGGGAGGCGGCAACTGGGGAGGGCAGGGAGCAAGTGGAGCGCGAGTTTCGGTGCGCAGCAGAGAGGTCGAAAGACAGGTCGCCCCCGCCAGCACTGCTGCTGGTAGTCCTATGGTCCCTATTATCTCTACCATCAGCGGCAGCAGCAGCGCCAGTATTAGCACGAGCAGCAGCAGCATCGTCTTCATCGTTTTCATCGTCTGAGTCGATTTCCTTCAAGATGTGGGCAAAGGATGGCGAGATGAGCCGCAGCCTCCGCTGCTCCTCTGATTCCACACCACTCTGCTGCTGCTTCTGCCCCTGCTGCGTCTGTCCCTGCTGCTGTGGCTGCTGCTGCGCCTGACCCTGCTGCTGCTTCAACTGGTCTGTCTCATCCTCATCGTCATCCTCATCCTCGTCATCTCCCACCTCATTTAGAATATAAGCAAACGAGGGCGACACCAGCCGCAGCCGCCGCTGCTTCTCCTCCTCTAACGCGTCAGCCAAAGACGGGCCCTCCGTCTCCCTTCCCCCTCCTGCCCCTTCAACCCCCACCCCGAACGGACTCACCCTGATGCCCCCATCAAGAGCAATAGAACCAGCAGCAGCACTGTCAGCACCAACCGCCGCTGCCGCAGCAGCAGCAGCAGCTGCTGCCCGAGACGCTGCAGATACCACTACTCTTGCTGGTTCCCCCATTCGCTTCCCCTCCTCTCCCTCCCCTTCCCTCCCTTCCTCCCCATCACTCTCATCATCCACCTGGTTGAGAATGGAGGCGAAGGAGGGGGACGTGAGGTACAGCCGCCGCTGCCTCTCTGCCAGCGTCTCACTACGCTCCAGTTCACCAGCACCACTCTCAGCACCACTCTCAGCGGCACCACCACCACCACCACCAGGCACAGCAGCAGCCGCCGCAGCAGCCGCACCACCACACGCAGCAGGAACAATAGAAGCAGCAGAGTATGAAGCCTGGGCGGGCGGCATGGGAGCAGGCGAGCCTGCCTCCCCTTTCACTCCCTGCAGTGACACATCCGACAGCCGCCTCTCCTCCTCCTCGTAACCACTCTTCTGGTTACCACCCTTGTGGTAACCACCCTCTTCCCCTTCCCCCAGCAGCACCCTTTCTTCTGTGTACCCTGCCTCGTCCAAGTCACTCCCCTCATCCTCCCACTCCCCTTCATCCTCACTCTCTCTCTCGTCCTCACACTCTCCCTCAGGGACCGAATCCATGCTTCCACTTGACCTGCCCGACCCTCTCCTCCCTCTCCCAATCCTCCTTTCTCCTCCTCCTCTTCCTCCCCCCTTTCCAGCTCGTTGTCCCTCGTTTCTCACTCTCGGCTGATAACCCCCTCGTCCCCCCTCTCTGTTCTGGCTAGCGGACGGCAGATCGAACTGAATCTGCCTTTGACGCGTCTGTTGACCGCGCCACTCCCCACCTCCCCTCTCCATCCCCTCTCCCTCAAACCCATCCTCCTCCCCCTCCTCTCCATCCTCTCTCTCCTCTCTCTCCTCTCTCTCCTCTCCCTCCTCTTCGAAAAAGTCATCCCCATCCTCCTCCATCCAAGTAGGTCTCTTCTTGCTCCCCCCTCTTTCCGGAAAATACCTCACACTCCCCGCCCCACTCCCGCTATAATCACTGTCCGCATCGTCACTCCTCCCACTCCCACTCTTACTGCTCCTCGTACTGCTCCTCTCACTCCTCCCACTCCTCCCCTCACTCCTCCCACCCCTTCCATCCCCCGTCCTAATCGCACTCCTTTCCCTTTCATCTCTTATCGAATCATCCCTCTCCCTCCGTCCCACGCCGTCTCCTCTCTTCCTCCATCCATCCCCGCTACAGGGCTCCTCAATCTGCTCTACAAAGTCCCAATTCCCATCACTGCTGCCATCACTCCCACTTCCCCGCCCATTCTCCCTCCTCTCCCGCGCATGATTATGGCCCCTCTCCGTGCTATGCTCGTCCTGCCGCCCGTATCCCACTTCCTGCCGCCCGCGAGCGTTCACCTGCCGGCCACTGCCACCTTCTTGAAGGCCACTGCCCCCATGCGACCGGCCGCTGACACCACCCTGCCGGCCACCGCCAGCGGCATGCCGTCCGCTGCCGCCCTCCCTACCGCTGCCGCCCTCCCTACCGCTGCCGCCCTCCCTACCGCTGCCGCCTTCCCTAGTGCTGCCGCCCGCAGAGCTCCGCCCGCTGCCGTCCCGCGCCACCCGCCGCTCTTCCCCTTCTCCCGATCCACTGCGCACGGCTTGCGCGGGCACTCGCGTTCCCGACCTTCCAGATCCCGAGCCTGCAGATTCCGACCCTCCGGATCCCGAACCTCCAGAACCCGAGCCGCTCACCCGGACATGCCGAGCCTGATTAGCAGGTCCGCCAGGCCGTTCCGCCTCAGGCGTGCGCATTCGCTGCAGCGACGGCTGTGGCCCTCCGCGCATGTTCCCCACCCCCGTGTGAGCGGAATCCGCGCGGGGGAAACCTCCGCCAGGAGCATCAGGAACAGAGGCCCCGCGGAAGCGAATGGGGGACTTGGAGCGGCTCCGCTCAACGGCGCTTCCGCCACCGCCATCGCGAGAAATAGCGCGACCCATCAGCGGGGATTTCGACCTGCTCCGCGCAACCCCGCCGCCTTTCTCCGCTCCGCCAACCCCCGCCGCCGGTCTCCCCCGTTGCTCTCCTCCGACCTGGCGCGCGGCTTTCGCGGGGAGCTCGTTCAGCCAGTTGGAAAGGTGCGACACGCCGCCCATGGCGCCGCCGACCGCGGCGCCCATTGCGCCGCCTATCGCGCTGCCCATTGTCGGCGTCGTGGGGCGCCGGGGCTGCGTAGCATTCGGCGGGACGAACGGGTGGTTACCAACGGGACTAACGGGGCCGGCGGCGCTGGGAGCGGCGGGAGCGGCGGCTAACTTGTGCTGGAGATTAAGGATCTTCTGCTGCTGGCGCGACTCGAGAGCGTTGGGCTGGTGAAGCTTGTGAATGAGCTGTGACGCTTTATTTGCCTGCTGCTGCTGCTGGTGTTGCTGTTGCTGCTGCTGCTGCTGCTGCTGCTGCTGAAACGTAAGCATTGCGCCGTGCGCGGGACGACGGTCCCGCGTTGTTTGCATCGTGCAAAAGCGGATACTGACTGAAAAAAGTCGGGCTGCAGCTAATTGTGAGCGAAAAGAACCTCGTGGGCGAGCGCGGTAATCAGAAATGAGCTAGTTCAAAATAAGCTGTCCTCTCTTTAAGTGAGTGGAAGAACGAAAATTAGGGTAGGAAGCTCAGCCTGAGGAACAGAGAGAAGCTGAATCGACATACCGCTGAACCGCCTTACCCCGGCTCTAGATCATTAGGTTACTGGTTAGTTACGACGGACGAAAGATAACGGGAAACGCATTTTCGTGATTCTCGCTCAGAGAGAATGGCGAGGAGAGCAAGCCATTCTAGTTTACAAGAAAGCGATGGGCTTGCGGGAGGCTGCTTTGAGTGAACTTATGAGGGCAACTCACATCAAGCCCAACAGGCGAGACGAGTTGTCTACAATTCTGAGAGGTACACCCTGCTTCGCGCTACACTGTCAATGGCTATACTAACTGATCGGATGTACACACATCAATGCGTCCAGGATGGTCCATGCACATACGATATAAGCACGTTTGCCCGCACTCAACCGTACCCAAAAGCAAGTTGTTTTCTGAAAATCGTTGTGTACCGTTCACCAGGAGTCCATTTGCCCGTCACTACCTGCAGTTCGGCTGTAAGCACGAGACCGCTACGTTCCAAGCAACAGTACACACTGTAGCCTGTGAATCTCATTGTCAGTGTAGCGCAAAAGAGGGTGTACAACAATTCCTGAGTGGCAGCAGCAAGGAACAAAACTCATTCTAAGGGAACAAGACTTGCTATGGAATGGCACAAGGGGATGGAGGAAGGCAATACAACGCGGGAGCAGCAATGATGACGTGCAGTGCAGACAACGCAGGAACCTGGACTAGTATACCGTACTGAAACGCTATATGCCATGTAGCATCGCGCTGAACTTTCAGAAAGCATACAACGCCAAATTTGACCTGAGGGTGCGTTTCTATTCCGTGTCAGACATCAAGTCATGCGGCCTTAGTCTCCAATTTGTCTCTTCCGAACTTCCAATCGCCCCAAAAACGAGCCACTTCGGGTCTTCCGAACCTCCAAATGTGTCAAACCTAATGTCTGACACGGGATAGAAATGGCCCTGATTTGGACACAAAAAACAGAGTTGTACGAAGCAGGGAAAAAGGGATCTTGTTTTGCGAAATGTCCCTGCCAGGTTCGAGGTGGGACCTAGGTTGTTCCTGCCGCTGCTGGGTGTCAGTAGAAGGAGTTTCGACTGGTGGGGAGAATTCTGAAAAATGCTGGCACCTACGCCAGAAAGAAAGTAAGAAAGAAGCTGTTTAGGAGAAGATGGGTTGTAGATTTATGTCGGGTTGGTCTGCTATTGTTCCTGGAGGTTGAAGTTGGCGCTTTTCAAGTGATTTCGTACATGGCAAGTTTCCCAGCCAATAGTCGCAACCGAAACGGGAGCTCGGGATCATTGGCTCGGGATCTAAGCGCTTCAAACAAAAACCCATTTCGCCCTAATGGAATTCCAGGAGTGCAAACAATGTAGAATGGCAGGGAAGTGTGGTAACTCTTGGACATTCTCCATGATTAGCAACAAACGGTCAAAGCATAGTAGCCCTGATACAGATACACTAGTTTTACATTTCTATCTGACTCAACAACAATTGACTTGCATGAAAGTTCGTCAAGTTCTAACAGTGGCAAGCTTCGTCAATAACTCCATGAAAACTAAGGACGTGGTGCAGATCGGGGCGATCTGAGGCAATGAGCTTTTGATCGGATCGTATTGCATCGACTTGATGCGATCTGCGATCCGTACGGCGCTACGTGATCTGGCGGGAGAATTTGTCGGAAACAGCCAAAATCACAATCGGTCCTTTCATGCTAGTCACACGTCCTTTCCATAACGAAGTTTAGCGAGCTCAAGCGAAATTCAGTACCGTGCAATTATGCCGTAGCCTCCGTCTGTGACCACATTGTATAATTCCCGTTGCAAGGGTGGCACGAGGGGCCGTAAGGGTGGCACGAGGGGCCGTAAGGGCGGCGCAAGGGGCCGTGAGAGGGGCCGCTAAGGGCGACGCGAAGGGGCCGTGAGGGGCCGTGAGAGGGCGCGACGGTAGGGAGGGCACACAGGGCGCGACTCGGGCAGGAGCGAAGCGCGCTCCGGGCAGGAAAAAAAATTCGTGGTGGGCCCTAGGAAGTGTTCCCACTAGGGAACCTGCTCTGATACCATGAGAAGAAACGAGGAATGGAATGACTAAAGGAAAGTTGGGTACAAAAGCAAACCCTAGAAAACTGTACCCCATATGTGCTACCCCACTATAGCCTACAGTAGCTATGTCATATAAACCTGACACCGTGCAATTATGTCGTAGCCTCCGTCTGTGACCACATTGTATAATTCCCGTTGCCCAAGCTGTTTCGACTAATTTGGCGATATAAACTGTTGCAACGAGCAGAAAAGAACTTCGGTAAGGTTAGTTACTAATCACGTGTGTCGATAGTGTTGGGCTGAGAAAAGCCCTTAGGATCGTTCAAGGCTAAGACTCCAATAAGGATATTGTATTGCGGAAGCGTTTAATGATAGACTGTTGAACCACCTTGCGCTGGTATGTGAGGGTAAGATAGATTGATTATAGAGAAGTAATACAGGCTTTTATAACATTACAAGGAATATGAAAGGATGCGATAACTGTTTTGCTGTTGCTGTTGCGGTTCGATACAATGACGACTCGGGCAACTACTCAGTATCGAGTCAGTTGTTTGTCCTTGCTGTCGCGCTGTATTTGTCGAGTCAAAGGTCGCTGACCTTTGACCTTCGCGTAACCTCCAGCAGTTACATTTGTCAACCTCCTTGGTTGACTTGCCGTTGCTTCGTTGTTATTTGCTCCGTTTACAGTTCGATGTTCCGACACATCAGAAGCGTTAAGTTACTTGTTTCCAACACTCCCCTTCGCTTTTGGAGTGTCGCTGCTGGTGACGTGTCTTTGTCCAGTCAGCAGCATGCAGTACTCGAACTTCTGCTTTCCGAGCTTCTTGGTCAAGTAATAAGCTGCCATCTCGGACGTAGGGCAGTAGGATAGCTCGAGTCTCCCCTTCTCGATCTCGTCTTTCACGAAGAAGTATCGCATGGCGATATGCTTCGTGCGGTTTGCGAACCCGTTCTTGTTCGCTATGCGAATTGCAGATTGGTTGTCGCAGAACATAGAGAAGCTGGGTAACTGGGCCAACTTCGCTTCTTCTAGCAGTTCGCGAAGGTACAGTCCTTCCTTGGTGGCTGAGCAGGGTGCAATACATTCTGCTTCAGCTGAGGAGAGAGCGATTAGTTCCTGCTTGCTCGACTGCCACGAGATAGGTCCGATAGGTTCAAGTCGATAGATGTAGCCGGTGCGCGAGCGCCTATTGTCAGCGTCGCCAGCGTGGTCGGCGTCTACGTAGCCGATTAGCTTAGGTGTCGAGATTCCGTTTTTGTAGTAGGTCAGGCCGATCGTCGAAGTACTGACGAGGTAGTGGAGAGCGTGGTCGAGCTCGGCCATGTGGTCTGCTTCAGGCTTCTTGAGGTAGGTGGCGAGTTGGCTCGCTGAGTACGATAGGTCAGGTCGGCAGGTGACGGCTGCGAAAAGTAAACATCCCAGATTTCGTTGATAGTCGCGTATGCCGGCGGGTTTGAGTGGAGCGGAGGCTTCCTTGCGGTTTCCGTCAGTGTAGCGATATGGCGTGGAGATTGTGGTCGGACTTAATCCGAAGCGTTTCGCGATGGTGTCGGCGTATTTTGCAGCGCTGATGTGGATCGCGTTTTCTCCTTCCTGTATGTTGAGTCCGAGGTACTGCGTCACGGTGGAGGAGACGGTGAATGTGAGATCCCGCTGCAGCTCCCCTTCGAACCAGGTCGTAATACCGTCGGTCGAGCCAATGTAGAGCAAATCGTCTACGTAGACGATGAGCAGAATGTAGTCGGCGCTTTTCTTGAGTCGGTACATCCCTTGGTCGTGCGGCAGTTGACGAAATCCGATACAAATTAGCCGGGCGTGTAGATATTGCTGCCACAGCCTTGGAGCTTGTTTGATGTTGTACAAGGACTTCAACAGCTGACAGACTTGGTTAGGGTCTGCGTTGGAGCCGTGCGGTTGTTCAACGAAGATTTCAGCATCGACAGGGGCGTAGAGGAAGGCGTTGGCAACGTCGATTTGTCGGAGTTTCTTTCGCTTCATGGCCGCTATCGCGAGAAGAATCCGCAGTGAGGTGTGTCGACTGACCGGAGCGAATGTTTCGGTGAAGTCTCGTCCGTGCTCTTGATCGAAGCCACGAACGACCCAACGCGCCTTAAATTTGGCGATGGTTCCGTCTGCCAACGTTTTCACACGAAAAACCCACTTCCCGGTGAGTATTGTCTTGTTGCGTGCCACTCCGATGGGTACAATTTTCCAGGGGTTGCGTTCTTCCAGCGCCTTTAACTCCTTGTCCATGGCTTCGCGCCATTTTTCCCTGTGCTCCCCCCCCAGAGCCTGCTGAACTATGGCAGGCTCCTTAGGTGGCGTTGCTCCATGGACGGCGGTGACGAGTCCTAGTATCTGCAGCCCACTCTGTGTGTAGCGGGGGAGATTTGCATCCTCGGGATAAGCTGTTTCGTCTCCTGCTTCTGGATCAGGTGTAAAATCGGGTCCTACGTGTTCTGCTTCGTCGGTGTTGACTCTTGCAGGTGTAACGTAACCGTTGTCAGCGAAGTGGTAATAGACTTCGGCGTTGATGCTTTCGCGAGGGTTTTCATCGTCCATTGGGACGTTGACCGAACAGTAGGGAAGAGGTCCGGCTTCCTCCGAAGCTCCTTCCACGTTCTGCTCGTCCCAGTCAGCTTCGTACGCTACCGAAGCGAAGGCTCGATCACCATGAAATCCACCTGTGGGGTCTCGGTCTTTCTTCCAGGTTGGCAAGGTATGTTGGGAAGGTGAATCACGTCGCGTGCTGCTACTGTTTCCTTGGAGTGGACGTCGAAAATCTTCCATGCGTTGTAATGTTTTTCGATGCC